CTATCCCCACCACAGCTGGCTGTGCGCAGCACTGGGCACCAGTGTGCCACTGTTGGGGTTTGACTCCCGCAGGTTGTTTCCTCCCAGGTTGTCCCCATCACTTGTGCTGACGGCATGGTGCGGCAGCATCCCCTCCTCCCTGCTCCCCCAGTACGGGGCTGTGGTTGAGGAGCTGCCCCGGCTGGTGCTGCAGGTTTGTAGATGTCCGTGTGGGAAGTGCGTTGGGGCTGCACATCACCATGTGACACCACGCAGGTGCCCTGCGCCCCACTGTGCCCACCGTTTGTGGATCCCGGTGACCTGACTGCCCAGGGACACCCCTGGGGCAGCACATCCCCATCTCAGTGCCCGAGCAGAGAGAAGTTGTGGGAGTCTCCGTTGGGTTCAGGTCCAAAATCACAATGGACTGTGAAAACCCATGGATGGGCTGAGATGAGACCCCAGGGTCTGGGCACCTGTCCCGAGCGGTGACGGCAGGCGGCACAGCCACGCAGCCTTGCCAAGCACTGCGGTGAAATGGGCACAGGCGGCTCTGCTCACCCGGCAGCTCTTTGGGGCAGCTGCACGTTTCCACTTCTCCAGGCTCAGGCTGGCCTGGATGTCCTTAATTGCCCAAAGGTCGTCGTCCGTGAGCCCAGGGCCACGTGTCGGAGGGACCCTGGGCAGGAACCTGACACGGACACGAGTCATTCAGCATCAATGCTGGGGGCCAGGAAATTGCAATGGACACGAACCTAAATACGCCGCGCGTCTCCCCAGGTAATCAGGGGCCGGGCCAGATTCCGGCTGACAGCTTAAATGCCTTAATTCCTCGGCCGCTGCGGTTCGAGGGGGTCCCGTGTGCTGTGGGCTTCTCCCAAACGGTCGCCGAGCTGGAGGTTTGTCTGTAATTGGAGGCATGTTGCATTCCCCTGAAAGTAGCCAGGTCCCGCTGGAGGGGGGCTGCGGGAAGGCAGCAATTTCCCTTATGGAATTATTTACCTGATTAGAGAGTTTATTTTATCAAAATTGCTTCAGAATGGGGCTGCTCGGTGTGTCCAGCACAGGGAGCTCCCTGGTGGGACCGGCGGCCTGGAGACAGGTAATTTGTGCGGTTAATGGTACTAATCCACTAGGCAATTACACCAATAGATTTCACGGCTGCAAAGTGCTCTGTTCCCATTAATTAAAAATCTGTTAAGAAGATTAGCACATAAAGGTATCAAAAGAAACCCAAGAGTTTCTTTCCCCACTGGCTCCCAAAGGCGAGTGTGGGAGTGCTGGATTGCTCGCAGTAGCACAAAAATTATTCTTTTAAAGGTAAGGGCTTTGCATCCAAAGTAACTGCTGACAGTTTTCCCCGACTTCCCTACCAAGAGGTCCTTTATGTTTAATTATAGTTTGTTTAAATTAGCCCTGATTGTTCGCATGGAGTGTTAGCTTAAATATATTTGACCGTGCGGTTCCCCCGTGCCCCGGCTGTGCGGTGCGGGGAGGGCAGCGGGTGCCCCCGTCGCGGGGCTGATGCTCGGGGCCGCCCGAGAGGAGTCGGGGCTCTGGGGGGTCCGAACTTGGCATCCCCTGGTCGAGCTGGTCACGCCAGAGCCGGAGCCGGGGCCACTGCTGGCCTTTGTCCACCGCCAGACTCTGAGCAAAACAAAAGCAAATTCCCCGGCAGCTGAAGGTGCCATTTTTACGGCTGGGCTGAACAAGGAAGTATTTTTTGATCTCTTAAAAATCCCGAATATTATCTGACAGTTTATCTTGTTTCTCCGCATCCGTGTCTTTGCGGCAACGCCAGCTCATTTACATGTGTATTGCGCCTGCCTCCACGGGTGCTGAGGTCAATTGAAACTCAAGAAAAGAGGAGAAATTTATGCAAAACTGTTGATTGCATTTGTATGTAATGAAATCATCCAATATTCATCTGACTATAGACTCTAATCTGAAAGGAGAAGTGAAGGACATAAGAGTCACTGGAAAGCAATAATGAGCTTCTGTAGTGATTAAAAAAGCACTTGAGCTTTCTGAAAATCCAGCCAGAAATCGTGTCTAATCAACACGGAATATAGGAGGCAGAGATTACATTGATACATTTTGCAAAGCTCACTGTTGAAAATGTATGCGAGCTGTAAACTCTGACATGCCATCCATGGTCTGTTTTATACAAATCCGGGCGGCACACAATCAGCGCCCGGGCTCGTCCCTGGCACAAAGCAATCTTGGTGTCTCTGCTCGATGACTCACAAGGAGCGCAATCACATCTATTTTGAAGAGCAATGTTGGTTTTTAACTATGTCGAGAGCTTCCAGCTTCCTTGGAGTTTTTCCTTCCTTTCGCCTCCGCTTTGCTCTTCCCGGCGGCCGTGGGGCTCAGCCCGGGCGGTGGTGGGGGGCCGGTGCCCGCCGTCGTCCCTGCCTCGACCCCCGTGGGGTGGCTGTGCTTGGGGTTTTTTTTCTGGAGTGTCCCGGCGGAGCTGAGCGTGGCCGTCCCGGCGGCACCGGGAAGGGTGCAGGTCTCTGCCGGGGTGCGATGAGAAGGGATGTGCGCAGGGGTACCAGGTGCGCCAGGAGCGCCACCCCCTCGGGGACCACCGACCCAGCGGGCCATGGCAGCGCTTGCCGGGTGGGAACCCGATGGTGCCCCGAACCCACGGGAGAGGGCTCCCGGCGAGCACAGCACGGCGCGGAGAGCCCAGGGCACAGCTCGAGGCGGTCCAGCCTTGGCCCTCCCTCCCTCCTCCTGCCCTGCATCACCAAGTGGCATTTGCTGCTGAGGTCAAACCATTTGGTGGCCAAAGTGGCATCACTGACATCAGTTTCACGTTACGCCCAGCACAACCATTTTCTGGCCCGCAGTCCCTTTCCCTCCTGGGTTGTTCAGCGCAGCTGGAGCTCCTTCCCCACCCGCCAACAGCATCAGCTGCAGCTTCTTATCAGCTCTGGGTGCAATCCAGGCTGGAGCCAAGCGAGAGGTTCCTGCTG